CTTAAAAATTTATTATTGGTGTTGAACTAACTACCGTGTCTTATTTCTTTGGTTAATAAGACAAAACTATTTCTCGATCTCAAGGGGTGGAATCAATTATGGACATATTATAAATTCTTGTACGTCTACTAAGGTCAAAAGTGTTGGTTTCGTAAAATGGAATGTCTAATATTTTTTTGACCGAAAGAACTAATTGTTGCACAATCTGTAACCGAGCCATATTATTAGGAAAAAACAAAAACATCTCTAAATACTCATTTTTTTTCATACCCAAAACAAGTTTTTAAGAAACTGCTCAAGTTTTAGCAAAGGCAGCTTGTCTAGTTGAAAGATCTGAAAGACAACGTTGTTCTAGGAGAAATAGTACTCGTTGGTACTAGATTCAAAGGATAAACGCACCGTTCATTGCAATAATATTACCGATAAGTTTTACTTCTCATAGCTCAAAAGAGACGTTCGAGAATAAAATGAACAATGAACGATTTGAAAAACGTGACATAGAAAGAGTTGTGAATATGAAAAATTTACCAGGAGAAGAGAAAGGAGGAAGAAAGCAGCAGAAAGCTTCATGTGATCTGTCAGTCTCAACAGCACACAGATTTTGAATTCAATGTCTTTAACCTGGTTAGTTTTCCAATTTATAGATAAATTTGGGTCAAAACAGTAAATAATTAATTTCTAGGGGCTTGGATGGGAAGAAAAAAAAAACCCTTAATTATTTTTTAAAATAAAAATTAATCCTTTAAAGCCCAGTGGGTTGGTGTGGCTGAGGATGTTTTAAATATAAAATTCCCTTCAGATGCATTTTCTCATGTCAATGGAAAAATAAAGCATTTTTGTTGTCCGTTTACGTTATCAAAACAAATATTTGACTCGTGAATTAGACTCGTTTGATTTAAAAGTAAAAAAAAAGTCGAGTATATAACTCAATCTCAAAACATTACTTGATCTACGATTGTATACTGATCATAATCTCCTAAATAAAACATTCATCGAGACTCTACCACCATCTCAAAGTTTTAAAAACGCGTCTACTAGAGAGATGTCTCTACACCCTTACGAGGAATGCTTCGTTCCCCTCTCTAACCGATGTGGGATCCCCCGGTGTCTATCTCTAATACCATGTGTAATAGCTCAACCCCACTGCCCTCTCTAACCGATGTGGGATCCCCCGGTGTCTATCTCTAATACCATGTGTAATAGCTCAACCCCACTGCCAGCAAATATTGTCATCTTAGGATTTTTCTTTCAATGACTTCCCCTCAAGGTGAACGTGTCTACTGAAGAGAGAGGTTTCTACATCCTTATAAGTAATGTTTCGTTTCCTTCTTCAACCGATATGGGATCTCATACAAACTTGATTGTGAGCCAAGGGTCTAGTGTGAATGTGATAGAAGGCTTAGAACAAAGTCTACTTTTTTCTAGTTTAACGACACGTACAAAGATGTATCAGTGTAAATTTGAACTTTTGACTTCTGGGTTGAGCGTATAATGTTTTAACGTACCGAATTATGTTTGAGTCGACCCATCTTATCCCCGATCTATAGCATAGATTGTAGTTGTATTTATTGTGAACTCGGGAAAGAGAAAATGTTTTGTTTAATGTGACAAAGATGGAAAGGTGATTTTGGTGGTGCTTTGGGTCTGTGCATTGAACTGTAATCCACTGATGTGAAGATAGGATCAATATCAAAAGCAAAAAAGGATCCAAAACAGCTATCAATTTTTCTTTTAAGAATCCTTCCAAAGCAAACTCCAACTCAAAATGGGAACCCACTTTAAAACTTTGAAGAATTGGATATTGTGCCCAAACAGGAAGCTTAAGCTCGGTTATTTAGATCTTAGTGGATATTGTCCTCTTTGACCAGTTACGTAGCACCGTCTAACTTCAAAATTTTAAAACGCGTTTGTTAGGAAGAGATGGATGAGGCTCTGTAAATTTTAAAACGCATTTGGCAATGATCAAAGACCAATTGTACGAGGCTCTGTAAATGAGACTATCTTTGTTTATTGGCACCTCGTTAGCAATATCTTAATTGGCTATCAAAACTAGAGATGTTTACGGGTGGGAGAGGCAAAAAAGTCTTTTCTGTCTCCATCCCTGTCTCCTTCTTCATTGTTCGTTCACATGAAATTCTCCATTTACTTTTGTAATGATAGAGTTCTCGACAAACTTTTTTATCTTTTAATATATATATATTTTAAAATATTTGTTTGAAACAATTTTTTAATATATAACTTCCATTTTTCAATATAGTGTCTATTTAAAAAGCGTTATAATAAATTCAATAATATTTTATAAAAACAACGTTTAAAAAATTGACATAGATGATAGAAATAAAATAAATTAGTATATATATATATATATATATATAGTGGGGTAGAAACGAGGATAGAGACGGAGAATATAATCTCGTCTTTTATCCTATTTAGATAACGTGGAGGAATCAAAGATCTCTCGTTAGGATTTGATGGAAAAATGTTTAGAATATATTTTATGAAATTAGTTTAATAGATTAAGTAATAAAAAATAAATAAAGATCAAAATAATTAATAATGAACTAATTAAATGGATATAGTATTAATTTAACTAATTAGTTTTTTAATAAATATCTGTAATTACAAGATTAAATTAGTTTAGTCCTATAATTTAAAAAACTTTAAAATTAAATTAATTTAGTCCGGTAATTTTAATAGATTACGAGTATATAAATGAGGGACAATATCGTCATTTGTGTAAGACTTTTATGGGTGGGAACGGAAACAAAAAATTAAAGTAGAAGATATCGTGAAAAATATGTGGTTATTCGTAATAATTATAAATCAAAATTAACCATTTGAAATTTGAAGCTTAACTTTTGAAACAAATGTACGATCCAAACAAACAAAATTATTTCGGTTCGAGTTAAAAATGATTTTTAATTTGACTTTATCATTATTACGAACACTTCAAAATTATATTTTTTTAAGAGCGGTGATTTTAATAAATAAAAATCATTGATAAATTTGACTTCTGATCCCATCTCGTGATGTTTACGAACACTTCAAAAGTCACCTTAGAAAACCGACATTATCCCTTTAACTCGAAAAAAAAAAACCTCTAAAGGGACAAAATGTACTTGATTAATGCATTCTAAACAATGGAATTAATTAAACACTACTTTTGATACGTAGAAAAACAATGGGGAAAAAGGCAAACAACCTTTATAATAATAAAAGTTTATGCAAAGATTCTTTACATTTTCTTTGTTTTATTATTTAATTGCTAGTTGGGTTTTAACAAACTAAAAAAAAAAAAAAAAAA